CTAACTGCTCGCATAGCCCAACAAAGAATGACATGAGTTCATCACATGTATTCCTACCTGCCTTACCAGGAAACAAAAATCATCTAAGTAATGCACCACAGATTTCTGTCCAGACTGCTGCTTCAATATCCATTCCAAATATGATGAAAATTCCTCAAAAAGACTACAAGACACCACAAAATATTTATTTAAAACCTAAAAGCTCAAAGATCTGCCGGGTGAACAGGAAGCAACCTAAATGCAGACTTAAGGTCCATTTTACCCATCAAGGCCCCCTTACCCAACAAACTTAGTAACCTAACCGCATCATCTAATGAGGAGTAATTGACTGAGGAGAAAGATGGATCAATAAAGGAATTAACACTCGAGTTTTCCGGTTCAGATAAATGATGAATCAACTTAAATGATCCCTCTTTTTTCGGTACTAAACCTACAGGTGAATTAAAGCCTAAGACTGGGAAAGGGTTTTGAATGGAATGGGCCAGTAACTCTTCCAGCATTAATTTTTTTCAGAATTCCAAGCTCATTATCTCTAGCTGACTTTAAATTAAAACAATTATTAGCTACCCTTTGGACCATTGTAATTTAGAAACCTTCATAAAACCCCTTTGGCAAGATTTCTGAACTCTTCCTATTATAATCAGAGTTTTGTAAATAAGCTGCATAAACTTCTACTTTAACTGGGGAATAACCTAGGTCCTGCAGATTGTGGTGCACTGGGAAATCATGCTCAAGGCTGGGGTGGTCTTGATGAAGGTCCCTGGTTCCTGTATTATAATGGGTATCTTTGACCTGAAAAATCTCTAGAAGCATATTGATATTTAGCAGATGGGCCTTTTTACATGGATGAGGCCCGCTACAGTTTCAAACATTTATGTAATTGTTATAGTCATAGCATTAAACACCCCCCCCCGAAGGTTTTTGCACCGGACCAATAAATGATGGTACCATGTACAGTAGCTATAGCTCCTGATCAACTATTCTTCATGAAACACTTGAATTTCTTGCAATTCTCATTTGAAATTGCTCATTATAAAACTTCCACCTTATATCTGACAGCCTACCTGCCTAGCCCCTAGACAAACAGTGTGGATTCATTTTAACAAGCCAAAAAAGAAATTCTGTAGGGTGTACTGTGGCATATACTGAAGAGAAAATTAAAATTGCATCAGTCCACTGCTGTACATTTGTAATTTTTACTGTAACCAATTTCGGTTCAATTACTACTTGACCATAAGAGACTGTTAGTGTTTGCTTATCAACCCTCGGGACCGGATTGGATAGAAGCTGTCATAAATCAATGTATTCGCGCTAAACATTTTTTTGATTTATTCTGTAGCATTTTCCCCCAAACTACCGCATATACCATCGATCTCATTACCTGTTGTATCAACATGATTGGCAGTCTCTACATTGACATCAGATTCATTGCTGTAACTAGTGGAAAAAGTAACCACACTTGTAGTAACCATGGTAACAATAATGTCTGTACAGGGTATGTTTCCCTCTGACGAAACATCTGTAGATTCGACTGATCCCACTTTTTGGTTTAGGCCCGCTCGTAGGTGCTGATTTCCGCTTCGCCGGCTTGGCAGCGGGTTTAACTCTACGCATTTTCTGAAACTACCGACTTTGGAATAAGAAATATAATATAGAAATAGGCCTAATGATGAAGTTATTATTATTATTTTTAATATTGTCTCGGCGTTACGACTTAGACAATTTTTGTTAATAAAATCATTATTATTATATTTTGCTCAAATATTGACTAAGCGTTACGACTTTTCTGTTTTATATTACGCATGTGGTTTTTTAAAACCGAAAAACATCCGAAAAGTCATGTACATAATGATGCAAATACACACGAAAATAAAAATTGCTAGAAACATTCTCCTTAAATTTCATGCATAACATGAATTTTTTAACACAATATAAAATAAATAAACAATTTTTTATCTTTAGATGCAGGATATGTCTGCTCCCCTTCATTCTCTAACAGAAAAGGAAGTCCCAAGGATCCGACTAAAATACCAAAAGTTGAAAGAACGGGGAAATGCTAATGACCCGATAACCCCGAATATGGGCCTCTCTAATAACGCGATTTAATTTTCAGCAATTAAATCGAATTATTTTAAATGTGACCTGCAACATGTGTTGCAAAATAATACATTCTTTTGTCTTCATTGCTCATTTATCTACATCGTAAATAATCACATGTAGTGTAAAATTTTGTTTGCCATAAAGAAAGACTATCCCAATCCATTGTATACCGTATAGAATGGATAATTGTTGTAAATTCCTTTTTTACTAAGTGTTATCCATACCATCGAATCGAAAGTAAAAAATGTTTTACTACAAAAGTTATTTAAAATCAAAAGTTCATAAATAATGCAAGCATTTAACTCTAAAACATCATAGATGGTATCAGATGCCATGTGGAAATTAGCATCACCTGCCGACCGGTCACACCCGCGTGTGCCCTTTGTCAAAGTCAGGAAATAAAAACGGAAAAATCTGTCGGTGGTTCAGTGTGTAAAAAATGTCTTATTATTCAGTCTGAAAAACGGCAGTCAGCATGTGACTTAATGAAAGACTGTATTTGCTACAATTGTAACAAGGTCATTGCAATTGCGTCGACTATAAAACTTACAAAACTACGACTTTAAAAGAGACTGCTTGTTTCAGCACATTGTCTGTCAACAATTTAACTCGTTTTAAAAAAAGTTCATATATATATATATATATATATATATATATATATATATATATATAGAAAGCACAAAGAAATTCACTTTTACATGGATACCCACTTCCGCCCCAGCCCGGGGTTGAACTCTCGACCTTCGGAATCTGTCTCCTAGCAGTGCAGGAACAGCGCGCTAGACCGCTCGGCTATCTAGGCAAGTCAAAAAACTTGCTTTCGATGCCGATGGAATTCTCGCGGCGCTGCCCTACACTACGGTCATTGAGAATAGAAGTGAGATACAGTTATTTGGACATTAGTTTTAACAGAGGATTGTTACCAATACATGTTGTAATGAAATTAATTATTATTTATAAAGCACAAGTTACAACAACTCTTAAACTAATATAACTGCCCTAAGTGAAGAAATATTAATATAGAAAGCACAAAGAAATTCACTTTTACATGGATACCCACTTCCGCCCCAGCCCGGGGTTGAACTCTCGACCTTCGGAATCTGTCTCCTAGCAGTGCAGGAACAGCGCGCTAGACCGCTCGGCTATCTAGGCAAGTCAAAAAAACTTGCTTTCGATGCCGATGGAATTCTCGCGGCGCTGCCCTACACTACACGGTCATTGAGAATAGAAGTGAGATACAGTTATTTGGACATTAGTTTTAACAGAGGATTGTTACCAATACATATATGTATATATATATAAAATCCAAATTCAAATGATAAACTCAAACTTTTATCTAAAGCGCTTTCGCCCCATGCGGGCTCATCAGTAGATTTGAAATTATAAACAAGTTACATTATGACGTCATTCTCGTGACGTTATGTAGGCAACGTTAAACATAATGATTGTGACGTAATAATAATCACAGTTAAATGAGGCGCACAGATAAAGTTTTACAGTTCATCTGATCAAAGTTAAGCGCCTATTATAAATGTACAATAATGGAGACATTTTATATAAAATGTACATAATAAAATAATTTGATATAAATTCCTTTTAGCAGTTCAATTTTGGTTTAAACAGATTTATAAAATATTGTTCTTTGGCTTTTCGTAATTGTTCATTTTCCTCTTTTATTTGGTAAAAAGGAAATATATAAAAATGTCCTTTGCCACAAGAATCAAAGTGTTCACTACATTGCGTGTTTCGTATGGTCGGATCCTTAATCTGTTGTTTGTGCACGCGAACACGATCGGCTAATTTGGTTCCGGTTTGTCCTACATAATTTTCCTCACATGTAGGACACGTCATACAGTATATAAGGTTTTTAGATTTACACGTCATAGAAGATTTAACGTCAAACTTCATTCCGTTTTTAAAAATAATGGTTTGGCCGGTTTTTAAAAATTGACAGGTTCCGCATCGTGGATCCTCGCACTTAGAAACCATCGGTTTCTCGGGGTTCGATGTAAATTTGGCAGTGGTAAGAATCTTTTTCAAATTGGGAGGTTGACGCCTGCTGTGTAGTATATCCTTTGGTTTAATAAGGTCCCTTAATGTTTCTGATTGTTGAATAATAGGGAAATATATATATATATATATATATATATATAGAGAGAGAGAGAGAGAGAGAGAGAGAGAGAGAGAGAGAGAGAGAGATGCAAGAGCATACAGTATATATAATTATATATATACTGCATGCTCTTGCATATCGAATCAAGTGACAGATATAAACCTCATTTGTAAGTATGAAGGTTAATTGCTTCCAAATTAACGATTATTTTTGACAGTTTAGTAATTTTTGGAAACTTTCATTTTAAAGTCATCTATCTTATTTTAAATAAACTACCTTTTTTAGCCTTTCAAGATCACTTTTGTCAAGAATAAGACTCCAAAATGTTAAAAGTAGGCTATGTTCCCAAATCTCCCATTTAACTTTTTTATTCGGCGTAATTGTTGTTAATGCGTATTTCAAATCGGAAAACCTTTGAAATGATTATCTTAGATATCTTTCTTTATCTACATGTACCATTTATATTGATAAATAATGGCCAATTTTCACTCCTCTGTTTCACGTGACTTGCAAGTAAATATATTCGTGTCAAATATTAAATGTTTGACAACAAAACAAGACCGTAATGTCAATAAAACAGCTTGAAAGTTGAAAGATTTCTTTTCAGACTTACAAATATTAAAATGCATTTATTCGTTATTGAACACTATTGAATTAAAATTCAGGAGGCTTGTATGTTTTCTTATATCAATTTAAATCCCCTACAATCACCTATAGACCTTGTTAAAACCCTTTTTTGTAAAATTCAGCATAAACGATCGATGCAAGAAGATCAAATTCATTTAAAATGGCGGAGTCAATAGAAAGCAGCGATCACTCTGAGAAGGAATATTTTACTTTGAATTTTCTTTATCTTAAAAATGGCGAATCAGTTAGAAAAATTTATCAGACGCTTGCCGATTGCTATAAGTGTGAAAGACAGATTAAAGTCGAAAAAAGGTAAGCAATTAATTGAAAGTTGAGGAAGACGTTCTATAAAGACGTTGAGGTTATTGGATATAGGTTTCGTGTGAAGTCCTTTTTCATAGATCTCATTACTTCGCTTGTAACGTTTTTTTTTACAATCAAGAATCTATATTTCATAAGAGTTTAACTTGTTATTTTTTGTCAAAATTGACAAAACAAATTACAGGTAAATCGAACACAAATATACCAAAGACCTTTAACAAAACCTTAGTTATCATGTATCTGTTTTCATTTTATTGTAATGGCTTGCTACATTCGATTTCTCTGATAACAATTTTATTAGCCAACATATTTGGAAAATGTATAGAGACACAAGATTTAGATGTAAAGAAGTAGACCTTTTTTGAATCGTGATGATATACGGAAGTGAATAAAGAAACTAGACAAGTCTTATTTAGAAATATAAGAATACACTGGGTAAAGGAAAAATATTCCAATTGGTCTAATTCTCACTTAGTTTCACCGGTAACGCATGCAGTTACTTAATTATATATCATACAACAAATTTAACATGCAAAAATGTTTATTATGAAGCCATCTTATGGTGTAAAATTGTGTTCCATTTGTGTCATTCAAAAGCATAAAGGAAAGTCACTTTTTGTTTGTTAGGAATTTAACAACTTTTATTATATCTTAGTAATGTATAAATTGGTCATTCTCAATGCACTTTAAAACGGAACTTAAAATAAAAAAAAACATTTCTCTCTTTTGGCCATAAGACAGTTTGAAATTTAGTTTTAAATATTTCTTTTGCATCAAATTCAATAACGATAAAATATATTTTATAGTATGCTCAACAAAAAGGAAGACAATAAATGAAGGCATTTAAAGTATACACTCGTATAAATATCAAAATTTTAAATCACATATTCACAAAATGTAATTCAAAGTGAGGATAAAACATATCTAAAAAAAATATTTCATCAGCAAAACCATTGAATGAAGGCATAAAGCTAGCTATGACTGCATTTCTTTCATGAGATTTGTAAACTGAACAAAAGATACTCAAACCCGTGTGGATTAATAATGTTTGTTTGGTTCACATCAGTCATGTTCTATCAGAGTGTTTTAAAATACAGTCTTCATAACATGTCATGGATGGAAGTTATTCCTAGAAAAAGGTCATCCTTTATGAAACCTGATACATGTATGCTGACAAAAGAAAGCATCGAAATGTGTGGTGGAAGTATGATATCACCGGTCAGATTTGTGAGACATTGGAATATAAAAGCGGTTTTAGAATTCGAACAGGAGAAATCCCTCCTGGGGATAAAAAACCATGAAATTAAGATCCAGCTGTATGTAGCAAAAGAGTATATACACGACTATGTCATAATAGATATCCAAGATAATTACACATTTGTGTTCTTCAACGTGAGATCTAGCCCTAAGTTATTCAAAGACATATATTCACACCGTTTTGATGATGAACCAAGACCTGTTAGGGTACCGGCCAGTAAATGTGGTTTTCCGACTTATGGTTTATTTAAATTGTTTTAGTTTGCAGTTCAGAACAAATAGTCCACTTCTGTCGAGAGTAATTTGGTATATGCAGTACAGGGATATTCATGTTGTTTACACACAGATAAGGTTTCAAAATTCCACGAAAGAGATTGAACTAAAATTCAAAGAGTTTGAAAATGTGTACGCTTGGAAATCATTGTGTTCTCTAGGTTATAAAGTAAAGAACCAAGAATCACAAGAAGTCATAGATGTTATAGATTGTCTATACCAAGGAAAAGTCAACGAACAAGTCCTCTTTAGAATGAGGGAAAACGTCGCTGAGAAACCTTTCTTCAATTTTATAGAAGAAATGTGTGCAGCAGTAAAGAAAATGACAAGTCAATGTGGCCGTTATAATGAGAGTGACGTTCCTGAAAATCATTTAATGGTGAGGAAGGTTTTCCTAACACCTACAAAATTCGTTTTCTTGCCAAAGGAACCCGTATTTAAGAACAGAATTTTTCGTCAGTACAATGAAGATTTCTTTGTTAGGCTCGTCTATCGAGATGATAACTTTGAAAAAATTAGCGCAATGGAGTCGACTACACTTAATGAGGTAGTAGTTGATATGAAACAGATTTTCCTGGAGGGGTTTATCATTCAGGACCGCCATTACGAGTTTTTAGGTTGCTCAAACAGTCAACTTCGGGAACATAGTTTCTGGTTCTTCAGCTCCTATGATGGAATTACAACAGACTACATAAGACACAAAGCTGGGGACCTATACAAAGAAAGATGTGTTGCTTCGTACTTGTCCCGTTTCGGACTCTGCTTTTCTTCATCGTTCCACACATTGAACATTGGAGAAAACGGGGAAGAAGTAAAATATGAAAGTGATGTCAAAAGAAATGGGTTTTGCTTTACTGATGGAATTGGAAAGATTTCAACAAGGCTTGCTGTCGAGGTAGATGGTTTATTTTTGTTTTTGTGAAATTGTTTTCATTCTTTTTTTTTTACCTTTTTTTGTACGAGTATATAATATAAAAGGTAAATACAAAGGTCTGTAATGATTTTTTTAAATATACCATACTAACCAAATAATAGAGCATAAAACGGACCTCTGGAAATGTCAGAGGTGGATATTTCCACAAGTAGATTCAGATACCTATTACTAGTGCCTATTACCTGATACTTTTTGTAATTAAATCCGTATGTAAGATACATGAACATGTATTAGTTCTCCTGAAAGGCAGACAAAACATCCCATTTTCAATTATCGAAAGAAAACTATTTTAGAATACCTGATCCTGCCTCTGATGAATTGACGGTTAGCGTTTACTCTGCTCCTATTTTGTTTAGTTTTATGGACTTTTGAGTTTGAATGCTTTTCCTTATCTCCATATATTCCATTGAAGAAAATCAAAGCATGACAATATAGAATGTGGTGCCTTTGACTTGAATAAAAATTTAGATATTATTTCTTTTTTGTGACATAAAAGCTACAAATGTGTTATAATTTGTCGGAAGGGGCAGTTATTAAAGGTCCGGTTGCGACGATATCCAGTATGAGACGATAATCCTTACATTACATTTCATATTTCTTTTTTCCTTTTTATATATGATTATTTATTTTATCAATCTTGAGTATCAATTAAAATCCTAAGCCTTTTGATCTGTTGTGCTTAAAGTACAAAAGAGCCACTGTGGTGTGGAGTATTTAATGGAGCAAATGAATATCGTGATAAAAAAAACACAAAAGGTTTTTAAAGCACAATCATTATCAATTTAATGAAATATATGGATAAAAAGAAAAGTGGTCAAGTTGAAAAATCCATTAAACATTTTAATACTTTTTATTTATGATTTATACGATGCATGTGATGGCTATGAATAAATGTAATTTAATCTTGAATAATAGGTTGATGCATATGATAGCTAAAAATAAATTTAACCTTGAACTTCAGGTTGCCAAGATTAGGGGATTGAAGGCCGTTCCTTCTGCGTTCCAGATACGATATGGTGGATGTAAAGGTGTGGTTGCATAAGATCCTTCTTTTGGAACTGAGAGAAAGGTTCTTGTAATTAAAGAAAGCATGAAAAAGTTTGAATCCAATTCTTCAAGTCTGGAAGTGTTGCAGTATTCACGCCCAGGTATCAGGTTATGTTTATTTTTCCCCATATATTTTAATCAAATGGTGGTGTCTCCATACGAGTTAATTTCTCGAAAGGGTCGCAAAATAAATTAACAGATGTTGAAGTTTTTGAATAATTGCATTCTAAGAACATATCAGCTAATACAGGTGCAAAATCACCACTCATTAGAATTAAAAACAATTTTTTAAAAGGTCCGATATCTGCATTATTGTTGTCGATTAGGATTGTAAGCATCATATCAAGATCAACTTCAGAGTACTTGTATGTAGAATCAGATTATTTTAATAATAAAAACAAATGATGACCAATCACAAGAAAGGAAAATTTTAGATTTCTATTTTTATTAAAAACGCAATTTTCTATCAGCTAATGTTAATTCGACCCGTGCGGTAGAGAAAACATTGGACTGAAATTCTTTTTCGATTTTTCAATGAATTTGCATACAAAATACGACAGTATCACTTGTCTAGAGAATATACCGAGATTATATGAATAGGATTGTAAACAAGACATCGCATCCTAATTAACGACTTTTTATATATCTGCAAATTGTATTTTGATTGATAAAAAAGGCATTTTTCATTGTACAAAAAGTAAATTCATTAGCCTTTCACTGTGTACAAATTTGTCAACCTTTACGATATGACATCACATTATTAAGTACACTAAGATCATTTCATCGCTTAGATCTTGTAGTTTCCGATTTAAGAAAGGACAAAACTCGTGTAATAATAAGTTTTGGATGATCACTCCTCCATGGCACCTAATCCCACCTCTGATGTTTCGGAGGTCCGTGTTCGCTCTGCTCTTATTTTGTATATTGTTTAATGGACTTTGAGATTGAATACTGTTCGTTATCTCCATATCCTTCTTTTGATGTAGTCCAGATCGATCTAATTGTTAAATCTTCCAAATTATAAATAATTTCATTTTCTGGTTTAATGAAGACCTGGCATTTTTCTGTGACGTCAAAGAAAACAGTAGCTGTATGAACTAGGCCCTGCCTCATCGTTGTACATGTAGCCTTAAATTGCTGTAGATGTGGAGACAGGTTATTCGGATGAGACGGTATAAATTCACGTCCCATGTCGCAGTGAATGCAAACACGAAAAGATCCCTCACTTCTCAGTGGGTCTGAGTGCCGAGTATAAGTAATAATAATTGGTATCTCTCCACCGGCAAGTGGTGGCGTCTCCATATAGGTGAAAATATTCTCAAGAGATGAGTAAAACAACAAATTTGCTTCTGAGCAAATCGATGTAGATACATTTAGTTTGTCACATTTGCTTTGATTTGTTTAATCAATTACAGGCCGACTGCACCTGAACAGACAAGTTATAACTTTGTTATCGGGACTTGGAATTCCAGATGATGTGTTCCAAAATCTTCAAGAGACGATGTTGTTTGACTTAGCAGATATGTTTCTACAGAACGACACAGCTCTATTGAGTTTGAAAGAGGTATTAATAGAAAATTTACCCATTTGTAATGACATCATTTAGATAACAAAATTCATAAAGATCATCTTGGATTGATTTCATGAATAAATACCAAATTAGAATTAATTTTGAATTAAATCTTGATAACACCAGAACCTGAAAAATTTTATATATCATTTTCAGTTACCAATAGCAACCAATTTCAAAGATCTTTTTGAAAAAGGGGTAAACTTAGTTCAAGAGCCTTTTGTACGGTCTCTGCTCCTAGCAATATTCCAACAAAGAGTAGATGACCTTAAAAAGAGATCACGGATTCAAATACCTCTACATAAGGGAAGGTATATGATGGGTACATCGGATGAAACTCAAACACTGAAATATGGACATGTGTTTATTCAGTATTCAAAAGAACTTGACCAGCCACAAAAAGACATACAGATGGTTCTTGGCAAAGTTGTGGTCACAAAGAATCCATGTTTTCATCCTGGGGATATCCGAATTTTTGAATCAGTAAATAATCCTCGTCTTAGACATATGGTAGATTGCATTGTTTTCCCTCAACTTGGTTCCAGACCACATCCTGACGAAATGTCTGGATCAGATCTCGATGGGGACGAGTATTTTGTTTGCTGGGATGAACGATTTCATGGAATCGAAAATCAAGACCCAATGGATTTTCCCAAGGCAGTGAAAAAAAAATCAACATCTTATGTTCAGTTAACGGATATGGTCGATTTTTTGGCCACTTACATAAAAAATGACAACCTTGGAATTATAGCAAATGCTCACCTAGCTATGGCAGACAGTGAACCTAAAGGCATTTTTTCCGATTCCTGTCTTGAGTTGGCCAGGAAACATTCCAATGCAGTTGATTTTTCAAAAACTGGAAATTTTCCACAAATAGACGCAGATATTTGTCCCCTGAAGTATCCTGATTTTATGATGAAAAGGGATAAATTATCTTATTTCTCGCCCAAAATCCTTGGAAAATTATACCGCCAGTGTCTGCACTTACACAATGTCACACAAAGAGAGATTTTTTTAGGATTAGATATCGATATTGATGAAGACTTTGTATCAGTATTGACTAGAAAAGAGGCTAAAGATGGAAATTTACAAAGAGAAGTCTATAATAACAAATTGATAGACATAATGAATGAGTATGGACTTCAAAATGAAAATGAGGCAGTCAGTGGGATTATACAATCACTGACAAGTGCAAAGAGTTTTTTAAAAGGCGAGAAATTTCAAATAGGGAAAAGAGTCCGTGAGAAAGTATCAGCCTTACTCAAAAGAACAAGGGCCATTTTCTTTGAAGAATTTGGTGGAGAAGATAAGAAATATACGTTATTAGAACCAATGATTCGGAAAGCATCAGTATGGTACACTGTTACGTATAAAGATCAGAACAGATCTAATGCATATGGCAATATACTAAGTTTTCCCTGGGTTGTTGCTGATATATTATCAATGATCAAACATAAAAAAAATACAAACCACTTCCCTGGATAGAATAGAAATATCCCTGGAAAAAAGAATGAAACGCTCAGAGAAAGATCGCTTGAAAGGCTTAGAGTGCTTACAATCTTTGCGTATTTTAATTGAACAAATTAGACCCAAAAATCTATATTTAGAATGGATTTCTTTATCTGGAAATGCTATTGTTCTACCAGGTGATTACATTCAGTATTTGTATGTTAAAAGAGAAGACATAAAACCACTAATATCAACCATACAGAGGTTTGCAAATCCCGAGATTCCTAGAGAAATCGATACATTTAGCGAGAAATTATGCTTTCCTTTCAAACTTAAAGACGGAATGCATGGATCTATCATAATAATTACAGACGGTACAATTGCAAACAAAAGCAAAGTAATCAATAAAGAACTCGACAATTCATGTCTAACATCTGTCATTCAATTTCTTCTTGAGGAAATTCGGGAGTGTTCTACATTGAACAATCCAGCTGATGCCGTCGAACATATGTTGCCTTTACTACTTGTCCGACAATCTACTGTAGGCAAAATGGTTAGAAGAATAAAAGGAAAAGCAAGTGTATTACTAGATTGCCTGAAAAATGCTAGGCTTTATCTTCAAAATATCCTGGCTTCTGCAGACTTGCCAGAGAGTACATTACATTGGTTACTGAATAATACTAAGGAAATTGTAAAGAGATGTTTGGTAAAATACATGGAAATTACTTTTTCCTTATCAGTAGATACTCCCAGATGTGAAGAGAAGGAGCAATTTTTCCAGTCCGAATCTATGCTATTGCCAATCGATTCTTGGAACGCTGTCGAGTTTGCGATACCTTATGTCGAATTCAAATTAAAGGAAAAAACTGGCGCAGATATTTTTATTTATCATGTAGAGTTGAGAAAATCTAAGGCTTTGAAACTCGAAGCAAGGGGCACGAGTCTTCAGCTTGAGACAACTCATAAGGCCCTATACGATATGTCAACAAATTCCATTGTTAAAAGTATCACGTACGAAAAATATGGACAAACAAAGGTGGATGGAGCACTTACAGTCCTTTTTGAAGGATCTACACAAAATGATGATCTTGTACTATTGCGAACCTACCGTGGTCTTTGCCAAAAACATCATTTGAAAAAGCCAAAATACCTTCCAATTTTGAAATATTACAGTGATACTAGTTGTGGAAATGAATTTCAAAGAGCATTTCATACGCAGTGGAGAAAAATTCAAAATGAATACAGAGATATTTTTCATGGCGATCTGAACATTTCTCTGGTATTTGGTGCATTTTATGTAATGGACATTAATGAAAATAAATTGACAGTTTCGAAATTGAATGACTATTTGAGAAAATTTGAAGAGAGGCGTATCCAAGGTTTTAAAATGGGGTGTGTACCTTACTCATTTTCGTTTCTGCCTATACATAAACACACAGAAAATCTGATGAAAATCCTCGAAACACGTTTTGTTAAAGTTGATACACAGAGAACAGTAAAAGTGAGAGTTGGAAATCAGGGTCTTTTCGATCTGGACGAAGATTTAAACATCATTCGTTACAATGCTCCTGAAATAAAATGGTTTATTGGACAAATAATCCGCTTACTTTCGCAAAAAAGTTCCTATGCAGACCATATTGGTGCTCGATGCAAAATATTGTCCTATAGAAAACTTACCAAAGATGTATTTATGCGATTGGAAGAAAACAATTGGCTTAAGCATGGTGAGGCTCCTCTGATACAGAGAAGTGGGGGCGACTTTTCTGTATGTTCCGATCGTGTTACCTATATAAGGGAGAAAGAAACAGAAATATACTCGAACGAAGACTTAAACATGGAAAATAAAGTCTGGCGAACGATGCAGGTGGAGGTTCATAAAGCGAAAGAGTACGATGTTGACCAACGAACCCGTCAATGCAAGAAAATATCGGAGAGGACAGAACTGGCCATAATACCCTATATACCTGATCTCAGATCGTCTGCTGAGGAGGTAAATACGTATTCCAAACAATTGTGGGAAATTGCTCTGTATTTCGGAACATTACTTGATAGTTAGAAATGTAATTCATATTTTAAACCTTCGAATACAAAGGTCTTTTAATTGTTAATGTTGTTATTGCAATTTTTAGCAATACATCAAAATATACCGGTAGTGTGAATGATAACATTTTGAAAACTTTTTAAGACATTCTTTTTTTATATTTGAAAAAAAAAACTGCATTATATAAAAGATTTTACGGCAAAAATATTGCCAATGTCAAAAAAGGATCTTTGTATGAGTTTTTAAAGACATGTAATAATGCCAAAACGTATGTTGAATTCTGTTATTTATTTGCATCACTGTACTGCTGCATGTATTTTTATTATTTGTTCTAATATCTTTTATCAAATATATGAAATCATTTATATATGGGAAAAATATGAACGTTTATAATAGCCTAATGATTGTTTTGTAAGGAAAATCGAAGTGAAATAAAAACACAAGCATTATACATTGATTTTGCTTGTTTCTTTTCTAACTTTCTTTTGTAATTTTCTCAGTACTTCATTTATTGAGACGCCACCGCTTGCCAGTAGAGGATTGAAAATTTAGAATTTAGAACATAACGCATATGACCTTTACGAGTTTAGGGATGTTTTTCTAGCTAGTACCTAATCCGACACGGGATCTCTGAATATAATTCTTATTTGAAGGACTGGTCTTCACATCGCACAGGTGGACTCGAGGACTCATGTAAAGAGCACCTTTAACTTTGCGTCTCTAGAACAAATGATGTAAATTTTTTTGTCCTCATGCCGAAGTTCATCTCCCAAAAGTTTCATAAAATCAAAAGCAAAATAAATGCTGCAACCTACATCTTGTCTCTTAACTCTTCCTTTCAGAGCGCTTGACTTTTAATTTAATTCACGTGATTATTTGAAAGGTTTCCGTGAGGTTAAATCTATCTATAATTTCTAAATTAATAGTGTTTTTATTTAATCATTTTCTAAATAGTTCTAACACATAAAAGAAAATAGAATGATGAAAATTGCGTTTAAAATATTCTTTTTTTGTTTACTTTTTGTTGTTAAAAAATCTTCTCACAATCAAATTTATCAAGAAACGTTCCCTCTAAAACTGCTAATCATGCAATACATGTACCTGAGATAATGTTTGAATAAACTGTCTGACACTAATATTATTATTGATAAACCTGTTATGCGGCTTTAAAATAATTTTGATATTTGTGCATCATATGTCTAAACAGATAAACCATACATATTTTGATATCGTCTGTTGAGGTTAATTCCAGGGTCGTAAAAATCCAAATCATGCTATAATTTACAATAACACTACCAGACAATCAAAATTGTATTGATTACTTATTACTTGTTATCATAAAATGTCATTGAAAAATCCATATATAAACACAAGTTATCTGTTAGCGTGAAACAAGGTATTGTCGTTTTTAGTCCAGATTGTTTTCAACGGTATAAGCTAGACCCAGGTATACAGAGGGATAACATTAATCCCCGACAAGGTATCTGCAAAATTATTTAATTTTCATTTTAAAAATATTTTTCTGATTTTTTTTTATAAATTGCAAGGATTTAATCGACATAGCCCTAGTATTAACTACTGAAATGTGAACATATAACAGTTATGAACTAAGATTAATGTCAATAATGAGCTGGGATCACATGGTATGTCAAATGTTATCATAACTTTTCCCTTTCTGCACTTATCAAGCCATCAAATCAATGTCAATTTATTGTTAATGTAAATGCAATTTTATCTTGAGACTTTTTAAAAATAAATAATGTTTTACAAACGTAAAATAAAAGAAGACGTTTACAAAACGCTTTACTCACTTTTAACTAAACTTATCCGTGCCATTCATGGACTCAGGTTGTAAGTTTACGAAATTAAATTAAGTTGGTTATTTTGTCTAGAACACTCTCTAAACTAAAAGCATCACAGTAAATAAAACTCTTGTAGAAAAGTCTAATATCCAGAAATCAATGTATAATCATAGGCAATCAGAATACGATTCAAGTATACACATCAATAACATGAAAATTAAACCATGAATTGAAATCTAATCATAAAATCATATAGATCCATGTGTCGATGAAAGTCCTGAAAATATAGGATTAAAGTATCAGAGAACTTTGGGCATTATATAGATAACAATCAATATATATTGTATTATAAAAAATAAAATGAATATCATGGAAATTGACATCATAATTTTGTGCAAGAGAACAGTAGAGTTATAAATCCTACAAATAAATTAGTGTCATAAAACTGAAAGTAATATTGTAGAAAATATAAGAATTCCAAGAGGATGTACATGTATATCACGTGACGGAGACAAACGGGCGTTGTTGAGAAGGAACATTATATTTCAAATGTCCGAATGGAGGTTACGATATCCGATGAGGAGTATTTTCAATGAATTTTGGAAAACCCTTTCTTCTGATTTTAGTAAAATGTTTTGTTTAAAATTTATTTTTGATAGAATTGCATAAATTTTAGTGTCAAGTGATGGACATCTTCTTTAGACATGTATACAAAATGACAATGCTTCATATCTAATATTATTTTCATTAAAATTTTTTTCCAAAAAATACAACTAAAAGCAGAGTTTCATAAAAAAATCAGAGTATCACATAAAATCAGAGTATCACATAAAATCAGAGTATCACAGAAAATCAGAGTATCATAGAAAAACAAAGTATCACAGAAAATCAGAGTATCATAAAAAATCAGAGTATCACAGAAAATCAGAGTATCACACAAAATCAGAGAATCACACAAAATCAGAGAATCACGGAAAATCAGAGTATCCCATATAATCAGAGTATCACATAAAATCAGAATATCACAGAAAATCAGAGTATCATAGAAAATCAGAGTATCATAGAAAATCAGAGTATCACAGAAAATCATTGTATATATTGAAAAAAATATGAACAAACAGTTTTATAAATCTGTCAGAGTATCTTGAGAAAT